ATTTAAATTCATTTTAATCATGATTTGATTGGATGAATATTCCATCAATCTCAAATTCTTGATAACGAATATTATTTAGGCAAACAATTAATATCTGAAATGTTATATATACAAATGCATAATAATAGCTGCCTTTAGTCTTAACCTGTAGTCTGATACAAATGTTTGCATCATACTTACATTTCAGTTTTAAGTAAATTATGATCAACAACTTTGTTGTAACTATTGCGATATCTTTTCACTTATTTAGTTTTAATTTTGTTTTGACTTTTACATTTTAAATTTAACTGTTATCTATTTATTATAATGTTATCTATTTATTATAATATGACATGTAATGTCATCGTGTAATAACAAACATATTTCAGACTTTTGAACGATTAACATTTCTTATATAAATTATATCGATTACATATTTTTTATAATAGATTTTATAATAGATATAGCAGAGAACAATAAAGAAAAAGTGTGTGTTTCAATTGTCTTGAAATACACACTTTTTCTTTATTGTTAACATAGGTTTCTTTCTTTGTAGTAAGTCATTCTTTATAATTAAACATATATATTTATAAACGATAAGAATTTCACCGTATTTATTTTAACAATAAGAAATAGAAGTAATGATCGTAACGGTTAAAACTAGAACTTTAATACTTAAATAATTCAATCTGAATTATTATACAGTACATATACTATATATGTACTTGTATATATTTGTAGTTCGAGCTGTGCGCCGAATTGATCACTTGAAAGGTCTGAAAGAAATATGTTTTCATACATATACTGACTATTATGAAGAATATTAAGAATATAATTAATATTATTATTATGAAGAATATTAAGAATATAATTAATATCTCAGTAATTTAAAGGCTTCAGACGCTTGTACGGAATACAAAAAATCCGGGTTCGACTTCCGGCCGAGATAATATTTTTCGCAATAAATTCATTTACAATTTTTCAGTATATTAACATCTTTTTAATAGAATGCCTGATGGAGCATCAAATTATTAAAATTGTTTGTCAATTTAATTTGCGATATTAGTATATAATAATTTAATTGCGTTTATAAATCCAGAAAACCAATTCGGCGCGCAATTCGAATGACTACAAATATAGTATATATGCAAGTATATATATATATATATATATATATATATGTGTGTATATATGA